TGCCATTAGAGTGGTATCGTCTGCATATCTGAGGTTATTGATGTTTTTCCCAGCAATCTTAATTCTGGTTTGTGATTAATCCAGGCCGGCATTTCGCATGATGTACTCTGCATATAAATTAAATAAGCAAGGGGATAATATACATCCTTGTCATAACCTTTTACGATGCTAAACCAATCAGTTGTTCCATATCTGGTTCTAACTGTTGCTTCTTGGCCCTTATACAGGTTTCTCAAGAGACATGTGGTCTGGTACTCCCATCTCTTTAAGGACTTGCCATAGTTTGTTGTGATCCACACAATCAAAGGCTTTAGCACAGTCAAAGAAGCAGAAGTAGATGTTTTTCTGATACTCTCTTGCTTTCTCTGTAATCCAGCGAATGTTGGCAATTTGATCTCTAGTTCCTCTACCTCTTTGAAACCCAGCTTGTACTTCTGACAGTTCTCTATCCATGTACTGCTGAAGCCTAGTTTGTAGGATCTTGAGCATGACCTTGCTAGTGTTTAGCAGGAGACAAAATGTCCATTCCATACACAAGCATGACCCAAAAACATGCTTATCTTTATATGTAAGTTAAATGTAGTACTAGCAGGCAGGGATGAAAACAGTTAGATGTTTAAAGTTTGTATATTGCTAAACGTTTAAACTAGCCTTGCTTTGCAAATGCAACTGGCAGACCTTGGAAATCGTGCTGGGACAGAGCTCAACAAACACATTAGGCTGGTTGCTGGGGGTGGAGCTAGGAAAGGGCATCATTAAGTTCTACTTGTATTCTGCGACTTCTCTATTCCAGTTGCCACAAGAACAGATCATGCTCTTGCAGCAGCAGATCAAAAATCCACTGCTTGAATATATTTTAATAACTATTTCCCTGACTTCCCCTGACTTCAGACCAATTTCCATTTTCCTGACTTTCCAGAAACTGGCAACACTGTTCAGATAACTGAGACATATCTAAAAATGTTTAGCATTTCCCTGAACAAGCATTAAATAAACTGTACACAAATAAACCTATTTGCAAACAGTGATAAAGTCAACTTTCTGCGGAAAGATGCTGAAAATCAATTGATTCTCCAAGATAAACAGGCTGAAAAGACACTTGTTACCAGTAAAATATAATGAGTACAGCACTGGTATCTTATATTCTGCTTTCAGATTTGAACCTTTCACAAGATATAATCTGAACAGCCCACAAAATGAATGGTGTATGGTGCAAGAAAGTGCTCTCCATGGACCATGCCCTTGAATATCACCAAATATACTTTCACGATGCATTCCTAAATAAAGCACACCTTCTTAAACTGACTGACTTCAATGGTCAGAAGACTGCCACTGTACTTAGGACTACAACAATAGTCAAACAGATGATGTTAGAACACACAGACCAAAATACCCAAACAAAATCCACACCGTAAGTACCTTGTCAATTGCTTTTCCAACTCTGGAAACGCTACTGTGAATGTCCTTATGATCTGAGGCCAATTTCTGAACAGTGTCTTTTATTCGTTTGCAACACTGGGTCATAACAAGTGATATTGTCCCGGAGAGATCCCCATCTTGATCTATGAGAGGAAAACAAAGAATAAATACTGCTAAACTGCCAAGATATAAAACCAAACTGGAATGAAATTTCTAAAATCCAAATAGACAAAAGGAAAGGAACCTGAGTCCAAGACAGTTTCAAAGAGCTGCAGCCTGTGGAACTGCAAGACGTAATGGGAAGTTATGTCTTTAGGATTGGCCATCATCTAGAATATGCATGGAAAATTGGATGACAGAACACACCCCGGTCACAATTATAACATGAAGCCCAATTCACTGCAGGTTTGTACTTTGTGTTCTCATTTAGAGAAGAAGAGAAGAGATTGGATTTATACCCTGCCCTTCACTACCCGAAGGAGTCTCAGAGCGGCTTACAAACTCCTTTCCCTTCCCCTCCCCACAACAGACTCTCCCTGTGAGGCAGGCGGGGCTGAGAGAGCTCTTGTCTTGACAGAAACTGCTTTTTTTCAAGGATAGCTCTTATGAGAACTATGGCTTGCCCCAGGTCATCCAGCAGCTGCGAGAGGAGGAGTGGGGAATCAAACCCGGTTCTCCCAGATTAGAGTCCGCGCACTTAACCACAACACCAAACTGGCTCTACTAGCACCCTGCTAGTAAAATGATGCCTACTAAGAAGCTGCTCCAGGGCTGCCTAGTCAAGGCACGCAATGGCTATCAGTGTGACAACACACAGCAGCTGTACATTTCCAACAATCTCACTCTGAAGACTGCTAAAACGGAGCTTAGGTACATTTTGGTTATTTTTTCCAACCCTTGCAAACCCCAGAAGGTAGACAGATGCAAGCTAGACATGGATGTTTGGGGAGATCTCTCCAGTCAGCTCAACAACCTTGGCTTCCCATTGGAAAGGCCCAGAATCCCTCTTGTGCAGAAGAGAGGCAAAAACCCCGTTGTCATGTTCAGAGAGTATCACCGTTGATGTCAAAACAGAACATGTAATACTCTGTGAAGCTCAGCATAGATGACACATGGGGCCAGGAAGGGGGGGGGGAACCACGAACAGCACCCTACACTTGTTCATTAATGATTTGGAGTTGGGAGTAAGCAGTGAAGTGGCTACATTTGCAGATGATACAAAGTTGTTCAGGGTGGTGAAAACCAGTGAGGATTGTGAGACTCTCCAAAGGGATCTGTTGCGGATGGGCAAATGGGCATCAACGTGGCAAATGGGGTTCAATGTGGCCAAGTGCAAGGTGATGCACATTGGAGCCAAAAATCCTAAATATAAATACACACTGATGGGGTCTGAACTGGCAGAGACTGATCAAGAGAGAGATCTTGGAGTTGTAGTAGATAACTCACTGAAAATGTCAAGACAGTGTGTGACTGCAATAAAGAAGGCCAATGCTATGCTGGGGATTATTAGGAAGGGTATTGAAAACAGATCAGCCAATATCATAATGCCCCTATATAAATCAATGGTGCGACCTCATTTGGAATACTGTGTGCAGTTCTGGTCACCACACCTTAAAAAGGATATTATAGCTTTGGGAAAAGCGCAGAAAAGGGCAACTCGAATGATAAAAGGGTTGGAACACTTTCCCTATGATGAAAGGTTAAAGCGCTTAGGGCTCTTTAGCTTGGAGAAATGACAACTGAGGGGAGACATGATTGAGGTTTATAAGGTTATGCATGGGATAGAGTAGATAGAGAAAGAGGTACTTTTCTCCCTTTCTCACAATACAAGAACTGGTGGGAGCTCCATGAAATTGCTGAGCGGTCGGGTTAGAACGGATCAAAGGAAGTCCTTCTTCACCCAAAGAGAGATTAACACATGGAATTCACTGCCACAGGAAGTGGTGGCGGCTACAAGCATGGACGGCTTCAAAAGGGAATTAGATAAGCATATGGAGCACCTCCTGATGGTACTGGTATTTCTGGCCACTGTGTGACACAGAGTGTTGGACTGGATGGGCCTTTGGCCTGATCCAACATTGGCGTCTCTTATGTTCTTACACATTTTTGAAAAGCAAGCATGGGTATTTTCGGAGAGAGTACACGATTCACAAGTTGGTGTAGTATCTTAATTTATTTAAGCTGATAAGGTATCAGTCTTTAATATAAAACAATATACATTACTAAGAATGGAAAATCCTGTATATACCACATATGTATACACAAGGGCGTAGACTTTCCAGTTTCGGGGGGGGGGCGGAGGGGGCTGGGGCTGGGCCAGAAACATCACAGCCCATTGTCACTATCTATGGTGGTGGAGCCATGTGGGATTTAGGGTTAGGGTTCTGGAACTGGAATGAGAGACCACGGAGTGGAATGACAGCCCCAGGGTGGAACAGGAGTGTTCTGGAACTTGAATGACAGGTCCAAGAGTGGAATGACAGCCCCAAGGTGGAGCAGGAGTGCTTAGGGACATGAATAAGAGACCATGGAGTGGAATGACAGCCCCTGGGGGTAGC